TATTTATTTTTAACATAAAATAAAATACCTATAGTAAAAGTATTTTTGTTATCGAATATTGTTTTAATTTAACAAATAACCATAAAAAAATATTTTGGATTGTGTTTTTTACTTAGTATTTAATACTAATTTCTAATTAGGTACTTAAGTATAGGTATACCTTTATACGTAGTTTGTGGTATATTTTACTATTATATAGGTAACTGAACTAACTATGCTTAACAGGAATATTCCTAAATGAACTTTCTATAGCAATTACTTTCTTAACATTCTAAGCATATGTTTAGAGTAGACCACAGTAGGTCTGTGGAGTAGACTAATTTTTACCACTAAAACTTTGCACCTTCTAAGAACCTGCCTATAGGCCAGTAAGAATATTCTTAGGATTATGCTATATGTCTTTTAAGCATGTTCTTTAGAAAAAATATAGCATGATCCTAAGAATATTCTCACTGGAAGGTTTAAAAAACATTCTTAGAATAAAGTGTGCTTTTAGGGTAGGAGTGTACATACCTGTAGGTATTACACAAATCGCAATTAAGATATACATTATTTTTAATCACTTTACTTAGTATATGGTAAGTATTAAGTCATTAAAATAAAATAAGACCATTAAAAAACGCTTTAGTTGGTTGGTATTATTTTCTATTAAATTGAAAAATTATATGCAATTATTATGTAGAAGTGCCAAGTACATTTTTGTTAACTTTTACTCATTTTAAAATTTTAAATAACACTGCATAATGAAATGTCACTGCAACTTCAAACTTTAAGTCAAAAGTGTATGAAGTTTTTAAGAATCTAATTGCATCATTAAAAGGGTATTTATTGAATGTTTTAAAAGTCCCTAAAACATTCTTAGCAATCTTCTTGGAAGATTCTTAAAATCAAATTTTGCTATCACGGTGGTGAACAAAACCTACCAATACATTTTTTAAATTTAAATTTCCATAAAAAAAGGTTTAAGTTGGGCAATGCACACATACAAAGACAAAATACTAAGCAGGCAAAGAAACAATGGAAAGTAAAATCAAACATAATAATACCTATCAATTTTGGCAGCCGACTACAATTTGCCGCCATTGTCCATAACAATATAATTACACGTGAGCTTCTTTACACGCAAATTAAATAACAAATAGGCTTGCGTAAGGTTTAAAAAACACTATTGTTAGTAAAAAAATATACAACAAGTACAGTTAGAAATGTATATAGGTATGCATGCAAACAATATATAGAGATTTAGAATTTTATTCTTACAATATTATTAAGAAAAGTAAAAGTGTGTAAAGTTAAAAATGTTTTTAGCGCAAAAAATGGGATTTTCTATGAAAGAAAATTTGTCTTCCTACAAAAGCATACACTATTGACCTAACCACATTTTATTTTGATTTTGCTTCATTCAAAAGCTTCTGATCTTTACTGAAACTACCAGCGTTGTTAGTATTTAAGCTTAAATTCACCTCACGACATAGGCCTTTCTCTCATGGCAAAAAATTGATTTAAAGAATCTTCTAAGAAGATATGACCCGGAATAATGGAATACTCTTAGAACCTTCCCTTATTGCTAAGAATGTTCTGAAGGACTTTTAAAACATTCAATAGATACCCTTTTAATGATGCAATTAGATTCTTAAAACCTTCCTAAAAAGCATCCTAAGAACATTTTGAGAATACATTTTTGGAATGTTCTTAGAAGGTTTCTTATGGAGCTTCTAGGAAGCTTTTGTGAATATTTCCAAATATGTCAGATACCCACGTTCTAATATGTTGTATTCTACATTCGTAAAATTCTTCAGGAGACGACAAATATGCCTCACTGTCATAATATGACAGTGAAATGTATTTGTCGTCCCCTATAAAAAAATTTGCGACATATTAATATATATTTATTTAAAAATATTAAATAAACAATTTGACCATAAGTTGTATACATTATTTCATAAAAAGTAAAATTGGAAAATTTTGTGGGATGTCAGATTAGATTGAAGTTGAAGATAGTTAGGATTATTATACATAAAAATGTTAATTCAGAAATAAAAAATCGGTATACAAATTAATAAATATCTATTTTTAACATAAAATTAAATACTTATAGTAAAAGTATTTTTGTTATCGAATATTGTTTTAATTTGACAAATAACTATAAAAAAATATTTTGGATTGTGTTTTTTACTTAGTATTTAATACCAATTACTAATTAGGTACTTAAGTATAGGTATATACCTTTATACGTAGTTTATGGTATATTTTACTATTATATAGGTAACTGAACTAAATATGCTTAACAGGAATATTCCTAAATGAACTTTCTATAGCAATTACTTTCTTAACATTCTAAGCATGTTTAGAGTAGACTAATTTTTACCACTAAAACTTTGCACCTTCTAAGAACCTGCCTATAGGCCAGTAAGAATATTCTTAGGATCATGCTATATGTCTTTTAAGCATGTTCTTTAGAAGAAATATAGCATGATCCTAAGAATATTCTCACTGGAAGGTTTAAAAAACATTCTTAGAATAAAGTGTGCTATCAGGAATAAGCCTAGTAACGAAACAATGCCTTCGAACTTGAATTAACCATGAATTTAATTTATAAAAACATAAAATTCAAATCACGAACATTTACAAGAAATATTCATCACACAAAGATACTTTGAACGTTCAAACCAACGTTTTTTTATTTATTTGCATACCTACCTGCTTAAAAAAACTGCCATATAATTATATTAATTTTTGAATTAATTACAATGTACATCTAGTAATTAAAATTAATGGCTTCCTAGTATATGTAGGTATATTTACCAAGTAGTTTTTTACCTATAATTTTTTTCCTAGAGATGGTGTGGAGCAAGGTTATGTGAATTATTTTTTTTTCCTTTTAAAGTTGTAAACCTCCAAAATGGAAATATTTATAATAAATTAAGAACATTATTTTATTAAATGTCACCTTTCAAGATCGCTTGTTGATAATTTTTAATTAATTAAGTTGATCTATTAATAATTGCGAAATTTTTAGTTGAACAACATGTTTTTGCATTAGCAATGGAAATATACAGGGTGTCTTATATTTACGTAATATTCTTGGAACCTTCCCTTATTGCTAAAAATGTCCTTAGGGACTTTTAAAACATTCAATAGATACCCTTTTAATGATGCAATTAGATTCTTAAAAGCTTCTTAAAACCTTCCTAAAAAGCATCCTAAGAACATTTTAAGAATACGTTTTTGGAATGTTCTTAGAAGGTTTCTTATGGAGCTTCTAGGAAGCTTTTGAGAATATTTCCAAATATGTCAGATACCCACGTTCTAATATGTTGTATTCTACATTCGTAAAATTCTTCAGGAGACGACAAATGCGCCTCACTGTCATAATATGAGAGTGAAATGTATTTGTCGTCCCCTTAAAAAATTTTGCGACATATTAATATATATTTATTTAAAAATATTAAATAAAGAATTTCACCTCTAAACCATAAGTTGTATGACATTATTTCATAAAAATTAAAATTTTAAATTAAAAATTTTGTGGGATAAGTCAGATTAGATTGAAGTTGAAGATAGTTAAGAATATTATAATATATATATACATAAAAATGTTAATTCAGAAATAAAAAATCGGTATACAAATTAATAAATATTTATTTTTAATATAAAATAAAATACCTACATATAGTAAAAGTATTTTTGTTATCAAATATTGTTTTAATTTGACAAATAACTATAAAAATATATTTTGGATTGTGTTTTTTACTTAGTATTTAATACCAATTACTAATTAGGTACTTAAGTATAGGTGTATACCTTTATACGTAGTTTATGGTATATTTTACTATTATATAGGTAACTAAACTAAATATGCTTAATAATAATATTCCTAAAATGAACTTTCTATAGCAATTACTTTCTTAACATTCTAAGCATATGTTTAGAGTAGACTAATTTTTACTACTAAAACTTTGCACCTTCTAAGAACCTGCCTATAGGCCAGTAAGAATATTCTTAGGATCATGCCATATTTCTTGAAGAAGAAATATAGCATGATCCTAAGAATATTCTCACTGGAAGGTTTAAAAACATTCTTAGAATAAAGAATGAATTGCGTAAATATGAATAATGTTCATAGCTTTTGTACAAAAAACTTTGCACTTGGTTGAAAGAAGAAACATTCAACTCTCTTAAAATGAATTTGTCAAAAATAACTAATTATAAGTCATATTTGACTAATTGTCATAGCGAAAAAGCAGTCACTAATAATTAGTCAAATTCCACTGAATGAAATAGTTAAATTAGTAAATTTAAATTTTAAAAAAGTTTTTGACCCAGCCTGGGATTGAACTCACGTCTGTCACTTGAGAAGCTTGTCAACCTAACCTCATAACCAGTAGGCTGTCATCCGCTCTTATAAAAATAAATTTTATTTGTCAATAAATATTGTTCATAATATTTTAAAGTTTAATATATTATTTGTGTTACTGTTTTGAGCTAAACTTTTTGCATCTTTATTTGTTTTATGGGTCATTTAACCATGGAGAGGTATATGCATTTAATTCAAATAATACTTTTTTGTTGGCCGTAAACGATTAAAGAAATTAGTTACTTTTAACTGTCAGAAATAGTCAAATATGGTGACTAATCTTAAATTAGTCAAACTTTAACTATTTACGTAGTAAAAAATAACTATTTAAAAGTGAAAACGACTATTTTATTAGTAAAAAATGCTGGTACTAATTCAAATAGTAGAATTTTGACTATTTCATTTTTAGAGAGAAGAGATTTTGTATTTGTTTTCAAGAGAACTATGCTTCTTCCACTAAGAACTTTTTTGTTCAAGCAATAAACACTCTTTTATGCTAAAATATAGTTTCTTGAAATAAGATCGATAATCTTCGATAGACGCTCGATCTAGCAGGCCATCTTCCGCGCGAAGAGATACCCCTCTCTTCGCGCATCGAGTAGGCTTTGCGTGGAGGGGGGGCGGTTCTGCATTCTCGGGCCTCCTGCGATCAGGTGCGAGTTGTTGGCCTCTGTCAGTGCACACCGCGATAGAAACCGAGGCGCATCCGCATCGACGGAAAAACCACGCGACACATCCGTTTCGGTTCATTTAACAACGCGAGTAATTTCTTACCGCCCGGCGAGTGGAAAGTTCTTCGAGCAAGTAAGTGCATCGCGACGTTCAAGTGTCTTCGATCTTCTTTTGTCGGCTAAGCCAGGCTAAGCCATCTTCGATTATGACGAAGATCTCTTGCAATTGGCAGGAAACTGCGGTTACCATGGTTAAGACATGCGGATGTTTTTTACTAAAAAGTTTATATTTTCCGCACTATTTCTATAGGCATAAAATTTATTTAATATTCTGGAAAGAGGACGTTTTTATGTACCGGTCAAAAGTCCGATATTTTAATTGAACATTTAAAATTAATTATTTTAATTAATTCCATTAAATATTATTTGAACAACGGTTCAAAGTTAAATTTAAAACTATCATTTGTTTTTACTAAAAACACAATCATCAATTATACACTAAAAAAAAACTTTGCCCAAGAAAGCAACAAAATCTTAGCTAGCCTATATAGAAATCCGCCTCTGGATATCTGTCAAGAAAAAGAAGTTAGATAATGTGGTAAGTATTTGTCAATATGTTTTAAGACTTTAACACAAAAGCATTTTTTGAAACAAATATTTATTTATTCGTCTACATTAATGTTTCCGCCTTCAAAATAGTCCCCATTGGATATTATGCACATGTGCCAGCTCTTCTTCCAATACTCGAAACACTTCTAAAACTCGATCTTTGGGATAGCCTTTAGTTCTTTCAGCGATGCGCTTTTAATGTCATCTATGCTTGCAAAACGACGGCCCTTTAAGGTTCTCTTTATTTTTGGGAATAGGAAAAAGTCTGGCGAATATGGAGGCTGGGGCATCATTACAGTATTGTTTTTGGTCAAAAATTTTGTTCAAAATCTAACAATTTTAGAACAAATTTTGCTGCCACGCGTTTCATACCCAAAACATTCGAAAAAATTTCATGGGATGAGCCAATCGATATACCACCATCATCAGCGACTTCTCTGATGGTTTCTAACCATTTCTTCCACTTTTTCCATGTTTTTATCGGTTGTTAATGTGCTTGTGCCATCTTGGAAACTCTTATACCACTTGTAAACTCTTGTTTTACTTATAGCAGACTCACATAGGCCTTTGTTAACATTTCACAGAATTTATTTCATTTTTTAAGCAAAATTTGATACAAATTTTTTGATCCATTTCTTTTAACGAACGAAAAATCGCCGAGCTCATAAAACACGTCTAACCTTAGCGGCTGCCACAGACAAAGTAAACAATGAAAACAGCTAAAGTTTTTATCATACTTCGGGGGCATGTATACCAACATAATAAAGAAAATTTTATGACAACCGGACCATCCGAACCCGCGAAATTTAACAATTCCCGTTATTTTCTGAACACACTTCGTATATACCACCTAATTATAATTAGTGAACTTTAGTGTTTAATATTTACTATTTTTTTTAAGATTTTGTTACAAAATTGACATGCTATTGGGATAATTGTTATGTATCTTGAATGAATTGCGTAAATATAAATAATTTTCATAGCTTTTGAACTCTATTCTTTCTCTAAGAACTTTTTTCTTTAAGCAATAAATACTCCTTTATAAAATATTGTTTCTTGCCTCTAATAATTTTTTATCAAGAGAGTTGTCTACTTTAGTTTAAGGGCACCTTTTTCCGTGTATATTTAACCTACATATATGTGTGTTTTATCTATGGAGGACATGACTTGCTGACATGTAGGTTTATTATGATGCTTTTGCGTTTAAGTCTTAAAACATATTGACAAATACTGCAATATTTTCTTTTACAGAATGATCATATTTGCATGAAATAATTATATTTTAGTCGATTTAAGTTTATTAATTATGTATTTATCTATATTAGATTCCTAATTGATTCAAATTTTAAAAATAAGAATAGGTACTATGCACCACACCTCAAAGTCCCACCACGTGACTACGTACGCAGTCTTTTGAAAATTTGGCATTTAAGGCTTTTCAGGTTATGTATTTGTCAAAGTATAGTCAATGAAAAAAATAATATTTATAGTGTTACCGCTTATGTTTAAGCGTTAAAAGTTAATAAATCTTTATAGTATCACAATAACAATGGTTGGTTTAAGAATTTAGGAATATAAAAACTGCATTTAATGAAATTCCAAAGTGTAAGGTGCAATATAAGTGATATTTTTGTGCATTGGGTCTACATTTCTCCATAAAATTGTTTAAACTAAACAGCATTCTTAAAAAAATCGAACTTCTCTATTATGAAATAAGAATATCTGTATCAAAGGTAGGTTAATGTATTAGAACAAAAAAATATCATCTAATTCTGTATTTTAAGGTTAGAAACATCTATTTTGACCAAAATAAATAAGTGGATTATTAGGAAAAGTGTGTTAATATGGTCATAAATAAATATAGGTATACTAAATAATTGTTGAATATGCCATGGTTCAAATTAAATTGAAGCTTTTATACTTCTAACGACAAAACTTGTGCGTACCTCTCGGCATACCTACTTTAAGTTAGATTATAAGAAAACAAACAATTTTTAGAGAAACTTGCAATGTGAAAATATTTAATACTCCCATGACATGTGATTTATTAAAATTTTTAAAGTTATAATGATTTTTCGATGTAGATCAAATTCAGTCGAAGCTTTTTAACTATTTCTATTGACAAAACTTTATGTAGGTTCACTTTAAGCTGGATAAGAAAAACTACCACATTATTAAATACCATATTATACAGTCTTTTAAATAATCCAAAATACTTATTTATTTTGGTCAAAATAAATTTTTCTAACCTTAAAATTACAAAATTAGATGATATTTTTGTTATAATATATTTAACCTGCCTTTAATACAGATATTCTTATTCCATAAAAGAGAAGCTAGATTTTTTTTAATAAATGCTGTTTAGTTAAATTATTTTATGGAGAAAACCAGATATTTGGACCAAATGCACAAAAATAGTACTTATTTGGCACCATACACTTTAGAATTTCATTAAATGCAGTATTTATATTCTTAAATTCTTAAACCATCCATTGTTATTGTAATGTTTTAAAGATTTATACATTTTTAACGCCTAAACATAATATTATTTCTTCCGTTGACTATACTTTGACAGATACATAACCTGAAAAGCCTTAAGTGCCAAATTTTCAAAAGACTGCGTTCCGTACGTGGTCACGTGGTGGGACTTTGAGGTGTGGAGCATAGTACATTACCTATACCTATACATAACAATTAAACTTGATTTATAACCATAGAAAAAGAATAACACTACTTATTCGCGCGAGATAAACACCTTTGATGAACAAAGTACACAATGTTGCAAGATATATCAAAATACCGAGTGATTTCCGACAAATACTTTGATCTTCAAATAAAGTTATTTAGCCAAAAGACTCGAGTTTCTTTAAAAGCATCAGCCATTTTAGCAGAATGCCAAGGAATTTAACTTTCTTTAACTTAAAACACCCTATATAACTAATTCATCCGGATCACTTTCTCTTTTTGTTCAAATTTTGAAAAAAACTGATGTACCAACGTCAACATACCAAGGACGTAGAAATGCACGATTTTGTGGGTTAATGGTCGTTTGCCTGAATTTTGACCAATTCGACCACAATTTCAACAGTTCGACAAGTTTCTAGGTTATTGTGCGATTAACATTGTTGCAACAAGTAGCCATGGGAGAACTAGATTTAAGTGAAACAAGCGAAGGTTCCATTTATTGCCTAGCCTAATGATCCAAAGATGTTTATACATCCGAACCACATGGGTAACATGAGCATACATCAAAATATTAATTTATTAAAAATCATGTTTATTGTTTTTGAAGCTTTTTCAATGGAAAATATTTTAGTGTCATTTGTTGTATTGTCTAACTAAGATGTAAATTTGCTATATCCTTCCAGCTAAGGTATTTAATTATTATTTAAATATTACTTGTTAAAACCATTCAGTGGAAAACAAATAATTAAGTAATAATGTCTTGAATTAAATCTAGATAGGCTAAGCAGGTCAGACAACATAAAGTAATTAAAACGTAGGTACAGTTGCGGACTAAGATGTTGCTAATAAATGTTTGAGGCTTCACTTACGTGTCAATTTTTATGTACAAGTATTTTATAATCTGAAACGGTAACCGTGCACCTTCAACTGTTTCTCTTCGTGGCATAAACAATTGAATAACGAAGGAAACATCCGCAAGCTAACCATTGCAAACCTAGCGCAAAAGAAGATCAAAGCAGTTGCTTACATTTTTGTTAAATTTTTGTAATTTTTATTTGCAGATCAACCACAGAAAATAAAGTGATGCAATAAAGTGATAAAGTGCTCGTTGGATTATTTTAGTGATTTTTGACTTTTTTCGTTGTAAATAACCAGTAAAAAATACACAAAATGAAAGGGAGGGAAAAGTTGTGCGCCAAGCTGTCAAGTGCTTTTTTGAGAAAGTGGTGTAAGTAGATTTTTCGTAATTGTAATTTAATTATGGTGCCAGAATTGAATATATTTTTTCAAGTTAACTAATTTTGATAATAGAAGGCATCATAGACTTTTCTCTATGGTAACCTACCATTGGAAGCATGAAAGATAATTTGACAGTTCAGTATATAAGTTGACAGATTAGGTTTCAATTTATAAGTGTACTAAAAACTAAAAACATTAATTTATTAAAATAAATAAACTAAATAATAATTTTAGACAGTGTCAGCAAGTTAGAAATTATAACCTACTTTAATTTTATTTTTTGCTCCACAACCAAGCTTCAATTTATTTTTTACTCGATGAGCAAGCTTCAATTTTAATTCCAAACTGAGGAAAGTAATATTTAGCCAATAAATAAATTAGAATCGATCGCCTATATAAATATATGCATATTTTTATTCAGTTGTTTTTCGCTTTTTTGTAGTTAGTTATTTTGCATTTTTTTATATTTAATGTAATGCTATACAGGGTGTTTCTGGAGAAACGCAAACGAAATGGATTTGAAATTTTAATAGCATATACAATTTGATTTTGACTATACCTAAAGTCAATAGTTTTCAAGATATTATTTTTTTTCGTTAAAATTTTGCTAAATGCACGTTAATCAAAAATAGTGTAATTGGTAACGATAGGTTCTTAGTTTTGTTACAAAATCAAATTAATATACGATGAGTAACCTTGATAGAAACCTATAAATTGAATGTTGCTTAAATGTCTCCAAATATTGCATAATTATTGTTGTTATTATTACTTTAACAGGTAAATAAACAAAAAGGTTAAAAAAAATGTCTGTCTGGAAATATTAATTGATAAAAATAATAAAATTTATTGTAGTTGTTCTGCGTCAATTAAAATTAAAAACATTTCTTTAATGGTTCGATATACAGGGTTTGACGAAAATGATGGATAAACTAAAATATTGAACATTTTTTGTTTACGAGGTGTGTTCAGAAAATATCGGGAATTTTCGTTTTTTGAAACAAATATTTATTTATTCGTCTATATTAATGTTGTCGCCTTCAAAATAGTCCCCATTGGATATTATGCACATGTGCCAGCTCTTCCAATACTCGAAACACTTCTAAAACTCGATCTTTGGGGGTAGCCTTTAGTTCTTTCAGCGATGCGCTTTTAATGTCATCTATGCTTGCAAAACGACGGCCCTTTAAGGTTCTCTTTATTTTTGGGAATGGGAAAAAGTCAGACAGAGGCATGTCTGGCGAATATGGAGGCTGGGGCATCATTACAGTATTGTTTTTGGCCAAACATTTTGTTCAAAATTTTACAATTTTAGAACAAATTTTGCTGCCACGCGTTTCATACCCAAAACATTCGAAAAAATTTCATGGGATGAGCCAATCGCTATACCAACATCATCAGCGACTTCTCTGATGGTTTATAACCATTTCTTCCACTTTTTCCATGTTTTTATCGGTTGTTAATGTGCTTGTGCGTTCGGGGCCTTCGTCATCTTCAACGTCTTCACGGCCATCTTGGAAACTCTTATACCACTTGTAAACTCTTGTTTTACTTATAGCAGACTCACTATAGGCCTTTGTTAACATTTCACAGAATTTATTTAATTTTTTAAGCAAAATTGGATACAAATTCTTTTAACGAACGAAAAATCGCCGGGCTCATAAAACACGTCTAACCTTAGCGGCTGCCACAGACAAAGTAAACAATGAAAACAGCTAAAGTTTTTATCATACTTCGGGGGCATGTATACCAACATAATAAAGAAAATTTTATGATAACTGGACCCTCCGAACCCGCGAAATTTAAAAATTCCCGTTATTTTCTGAACACACCTCGTATGTAATAAAATTTTTATGTTGAATCATATTTATGTTATGTTAGGTACTTTATTAGTGTTAGTATAAATCAAACAATAAATGTCTTATTTTATTTAAATATTTTTTTGTAACCTTTTCTTCCGAAGAAATATTTTTGGTTCTTGTACTACTGTATTTATTTGTGTTTGTATAAACTAAATAAATAGGTTAATTAAAAAAAAATAGTTTCAGCACGTGTGCTTATAATTACATGCCTATGTCAAAGTATAAAATCAATATCCCATGTTTTTAGATCTAATTGATAATTAAAAATAATTATTAATAATTTCTCCATTTTAAAATTGCTGGTTGGGTGTTTTTTATTTATTTTTTCTTCTGGAGATAGCTACGGTGAGTTAAGCAACGAAACTTTTTGACAAAATATCATTGTTTTATTTTAATTTTGAACGAAATTGAAAATTTTCCCACAATTAATATTAATGGCACGTACGTTTGTTTATTAAAATGCATTGACTAATTCTGCGACAAGAATTGGGAAATTTAACGTACATTGACCTAAAAAAATATACACCATATAACAATTTGGTTAAGATATACGAGGTGTGAAAAAATCACATGGTGACAAATCGGGAGAGTGAGGGGGCCATGAAAGACATTTTTTGAGTAAAACTTTGAAATAACATTACCCACTTTTATTATTGGTGGTGTATACATTTAACGACTATATATCTATTTTTTTCACTTAATTAGCTAGTTACAATTACAATCTATTTTTAATATTTTTAAGTGTTAAACTTTGTACGCAGTTAAAAGTATGTAATTTAACCCATTATAAATGCCTATTACATATTTATTAAAAGGCCTTGGGTTTGTTATGGCACATTTGAATATTTTTTTAATTACATTGGTAACGACAAGGTTTTATAAATGTCTTTTTTAGGAGAGTGCCTTAATTGGACTTACATCAACAATAATAGTAAAAAGGTCAATCTCTTAAATGAAATGAAAATCACTTTGATTCAAAATATTTGCACTTTTAAATAGGGCCAAGAGCTAACCCTGAGCATGTTTTTTAAACCTTCCAGTGAGAATATTCTTAGCAAAATTTGATTTTAAGAATCTTCTAAGAAGATATGACCCGGAATAATGGAATATTCTTGGAACCTTCCCTTATTGCTAAGAATGTTCTTAGGAACTTTTAAAACATATAAATATAAAATATATACCCTTTTAATGATGCAATTAGATTCTTTAAAGCTTCTTAAAACCTTCCTAAAAAGCATCCTAAGAACATTTTAAGAATACGTTTTTGGAATGTTCTTAGAAGGTTCCTTATGGAGCTTCTAGGAAGCTTTTGAGAAAATTTCCAAATATGTCAGATACCCACGTTCTAATATGTTGTATTCTACATTCGTAAAATTCTTCAGGAGACGACAAATACGCCTCACTGTCTTAATATGACAGTGAAATGTATTTGTCGTCCCCTTAAAAAATTTTGCGACATATTAATATATATTTATTTAAAAATATTAAATAAACAATTTGACCTCTAAACCATAAGTTGTATGACATTATTTTATAAAAAGTAAAATTGGAAAATTTTGTGGGATAAGTCAGATCAGATTGAAGTTGAAGATAGTTAGGATTATTATACATAAAAATGTTAATTCAGAAATAAAAAATCGGTATACAAATTAATAAATATTTATTTTAACATAAAATAAAATACCTATAGTAAAAGTATTTTTGTTATCGAATATTGTTTTAATTTGACAAATAACTATAAAAAAATATTTTGGAAGAATATTCTCACTGGAATGTTTAAAAAACATTCTTAGAATAAAGTGTGCTATAATTTTTTTTATTGTGATGCCTGTGAGAAAAATGTTAGGCAACCTATTATTTCAAAATATAAATATATCTCCTACTTGTGAAATACATATTTAAATAGATGGCATCATCTATCTAAGTAATGCATTTTTTATGTATATCTTAAATCGAGTTTACATTTTAAATATTTTTAAGTTAGTGCTTTTATACAAGATGTATGCCATTGTTTTTAAATTGTTGAGTAAGTTTATATTATTTGATTAATTTGGTAAAAACACTCAGGTGCGCTACTGATGCCACAAATCAAGTCGTCTCGCTCGTCAACCTGATTAATGTGGGTCATAGAAAACAGACGATTGCATTTAAAAACCTATACAGGGTAAATTAAAAAATATTACACAGTAAAAAAATCAACTCTAAGCAACACTAATTAGAGTTCACACAGGTCCACACTAAATAGTGTTAATTTGTAGTTTAATTTTCCCCAAGTAAGCAAGTGTGATTTAACACTATAGCACTAAGGATAAAGTAATTTTACACTGTATTAAAAAGTGTTAATTTACCTAAAATCGTGTACTTCTACACTTCCTGGGTAAAATCCCACTTTTGTTCAGTGTAAATTAACACTACTTTGGAAAAGTTATAATTTTAGAAAGGTACTTTTACTCTTTTAGTGCAAACTTCTAGTGTAAATTAACACTATTATTTGAGTAAAACCTATTGGTGGTAGTGAATAAAACGAAAAGGTAAATAAAGAGATTTATTTGGAACAAAAATCTATGACAATTATCAAAATCGGTGCCTTTTAAAATATAATTTTATATTGGAGTCGTATGGCTGGCTTAAGCAAAATGGTTCCTTAAAACGTAAAAGTTTTAGATCAATGCAATGTTTTACTGGCTGTCAACTTGTAAGCAATGAATTATCTTGAGAATTCATCAGTAATCCATTTTTCTGTTATAAAAAATGGGTGATCCCATTGGTAGAGAGGCGTCAGGCGGCTGTATATCGGGGATTTACCACACGTGTACAAATTCTTCATAATATTAATAAAAATGTAGGTATAGGTTAATATAACAACCATTACCCTTGAAAATAAAAAGTAAATCAAGTGTTTACGTATTTATATTATTAATGTTACAAGTACCCGACCTACTGCCGTAAATTATTAATATATAATATAGGTCGGGTATGGACATCCTTTTAACATATTGGTATTTATTGAAAATTAAGGCTTAAAGAAAAAGGAAGTATAATACTTACCAAAAAAAAAGAATGTCCCCTTATGGATTCACCGTAATTAAAATCTAACTGAACAAAAATGCCACACTTCCACAACGCGGTA